TTTCAAGCAATATTTTTGTATCAAAATAGATCCAAATTTGAACACAAATTGAAGAGGGCATTCAGAATAAGAGACCAATACCAAAAATAAACAATTCCTCAGATCTCTCAATCATACTGTCGTTCACAATTCCAAATGACAAAAATGTGTGCATTGAAAAAAAATTTCCAAAAAAACAAATTTTAACGGTTACATGATGTATACAAATAATTCAATAACAATAGTGATTTCAGAGAAATAATCATCGTTTTCTCTCAAAAAAATTTAAATGGGTAATCTCTACACCGACCTTCTACAGGTTGGTGCGAGTATGCTGATTCTTATTGTATAGGATGGTTACTCCAGAAACTTCAAATCGTTACCGCTGCAGAATTTGGAAAAGCAAATAAATTATGTTCAAAAGTCGGACTTCCATTCTGAACAGTACAAACATAGTATCTGCATGTTTCATTGCAGTTGTTAAGGCAATATCTGTTCTTGCACCTGGGTCAGCACTTTGGTTTCCAACTTCACCTGCAAAGTCTTTGACAGATATTTGGTGTATAGGGAACATAAGTGGAACTGCAATATATTTGGCAGCTAAAGCATTTGAAATATCTGGGTCCAACATATAGACTGCAAGTCTGCTTTCTATTCTCTTGCATTCAACTTTTCGCATGTGAACTTAACTGGGTCCCAAGCAGTTCCAGCAGCATTGAAATAATAGTTTACTTCAGTGTTGAGGTTTGAGAAACCAAAGTCTAAGTCAACTTTGTCTTTGCAAAAGTCACAGAACTTGGCTCCACCAGTTCCAGCTACAGTAAGAGTGAATGGGTCTTGCGTTGGTGCAATGACTAAGTTATTTTTGCTTGGAGTAAGTTCGATAGAAATTTTTCCTGCCCAGTTTGGCAAGTATCTTAAAAAACCTGAAGATGAGGAAAGATGACAAAGGAACTCTAAGTTTCAATTTTACTTTGGTTACTGCTGCTGCAGTTTGTCCAGAAAGGTCAACATAAACTCCTGGAACGTTAGGGTCAAGTCTTCTTATTTTCTCAATAGTTGCATACTGGTCTGTTTGTTCTCTAGCTTGTGGTTGTACTGAGTTTCTCAAAGCGAACCATTCATAGTTTGCCCATGTTACTGTTTGAACTAAGTCAGAGTTAGAATATATCTTATATCCCATGAAAACTTCTGGAGCATATTGGTATCCGACATAGAAAATTCCATTGCAACCTTTCTTGTCAGACAACTTGGCAGAAGGTTTTATTTCAATGTCTTGTTCCACGTATAAGAAAGAGTTGTCAATAGAAATTATATGAACCTGTCGCAAGCAATATCTACTGTTGTTGAAGAACCTTCTCCAAACTCACCTACGTTTCCATAAGAAAACAGCAGTTGTATATTCGTAAGTTCCAGGAACTATTTCTGACCTTCTAATGGCATTGTCGCATTCGTTATACCATTCGGAAACATTTCCATTCATGGCATCCAAAACTGTTGCGTTATATTCTGAGCGGCGTACATTTCATATGGGTAAAAATATAGAATAGTTGGGTTTATGTGTCATAATAGAACCCACGTGGACCAAGCTTTACTTTCTTCCTGACTGAGTTTTTAACTCTTCTTTTTCCTTCATTGCCACTACTTTCACTAGATGAAGTTACTTCTTCACTACTTTCACTTTGTTCTACTCTTCTCTTCTTCTTTGGTGTCGCTTTTGGTAACTTGCCCTCTGCTTCAAGTTGTTGCATCTTTGCCTCATGTTCACCTAGTATGTTGTAAATTTCCCATGTCCTTTTTGCCTTTGGGCTCTGGTCGCCCATCTCAGGTAACCTATATCCTAGAAAGAGTTTGTCATAGTTTGTATTTGAGTCTTCGCGTATTGTTTGCATGACTCTGTCCTGAGTTTCCGGTTCAAGCTCTTCAAACAGTGCCTGTCCATATGGAATAAGCTCGTTTCCAAATATATGTTTTGTAGCCATTCTGGTTTTCTTTCCATGTTACCAACTATATCTTTTGTGAATGGGAAAGCTTTTACCCAATCTTTCAGTCTTGCGTCGTTTATTTCTGTAGTTGGTTTTATTTTGTCAAGGAACATGTTTTTCAATACTAACATTTCATTTGGTACTGTCCATTTGAGTTTTCTTAAATATTCATCCCTTCTCAGGTCATTGTCTGCAAAGTAAGTTTTTATGACATTTTGTAAACTTTCGTTTGCAAGGTCATGTACAATAGGTTCTCTTCCTTCTCCCTCCCTAACTTTCTTTCTAAACTCTTCACCAAATATACCATCTCTATGGTTCTGTGTAGTTCTTTGAGATAAATGTTCTAGAACGTCAGGTGTTATATTTCCATCAGCCATGTTCATTTCATACTGGTCCAAAATATCTGCATGTTTCATATCTTTCAATGGCATTAAAGCCGCGCTTAAAATACCAGCTATATCTGGTTCACCATTGACTTCCATTGCGTCTACAACTTCTTGGAATTGTGGTTGTAAGTTTATGAACCACCTATCCGAGTTAGCTTTATGACCCCATCTCATTGTAGTTCCATCGTCTGCAGAAACAAAAGTAGGTTTGTTTCCATCTTGGCTAGGTTCTGAATGAACTTTAAACAATGTTTCATTTCTATATGTTTTCTTGAAATTTAACCTTTTATTTTCACCGAGTTCATCAAAGATTGAACGTTAAATGCTCGTAAGTAAAAAGGGTTGTTGTATTTGTGTACATTTTCTTTCAGTGCTTCCATTCTATGCTGAATATTTTCATCTGGTGTTGGAGTCTTTTGTATGTCGGCAAACATTTTTCGATATTCTTCTACTATGTCAGCCGAATTTTTTTTAGACTCTTGGAAATATTCCATATTCTCCGCATACTCTTGTTGAGGGTCAAGATTTTTCGGCTGTTCCAAATCTTCATCTAGTTCTGTGAAGTTAGTTTCCAAAGGAGTGACTTGTTCGTTTCCTTCAGGCTCTTCTAGCTGTTGTTGCTGAACTATTTCTTCCATGTCTGGTTGTATCTGAACTAGTTCTTCCTGTGGAGTTTCTTGTACCTCATCTGCTGGCATTTCATATATTCCGAGACCGTTTTTAACAACTTCCCTTTCTAAGTCATCCGGACTCATAAACCTTTCTTCTTTCGTTCCGTCTCTATTTTTTACGCGTTTCATGACGGGAGTTGAATTGTCATTTAGCTCTGACATCAAATATCTCGGAGTAAATTCAGTCATGTCATTTGGATGATATGCTATTAAATCATATCCCTTAGCGAGCTTGTATTTTCCAGGTTTGAAATTATATCCCATTTGGTGCTGAACCATAAAGCTAAATAGGTTCGGGTCAGTATTTCCATCCTTGAACTTTCTAATAGCTTCTTTATATCTGTCACTAAAGTCAATACTATCTGGGTAACCATAGTCTTCTTTAAGCATTTTTAAGAATTCTTGGTTTCCTTGTTCTCTACTTCTTTTATGTCCTTGCTCTGGTTGTGGAGGTGGTTGTTGTGCAGGGTTTTGAACTGTTGGTTGTTGTGCAGGGTTTTGAACTGTTGGTTGTTGTGCAGGGTTTTGAACTGTTGGTTGCTGTGCTGGTTGTTGTTGTTGTTGTGTTGGTTTTGGTGCATGCCTGTGTCTGTGTCCATGTGACGATGTAAATGTGTTAGGTAGTCCTGGTGCAGGTGCTTCTCTTGGAGGGTTTGGTGGTATATAAGTTCCACTAGCTAGTATATAAGTTCCACCAGCTGGTATATAAGTTCCACCAGCTGGCACATATGTTCCATCTGCAGCGTAATGTCCTACCTGACTTTTCGTTTTTAAGAAAGCATTTACTAGGTCTGTTTTGGTCTGTTGTAACTCTTTTTCTTGACTTTTCACAACAGTTGCTCTAACGGCGTCATAGGCACTTTGAACTGCCTGTCTCGTTGCTGCATCTGTTATTTTCGTCATATTTTGTGCTACTTCTCTTAACTCTTTGTCGAAACCTTCAGACTTCAGTTTCTTTCCAGATGAGAAGTCGTTCACTTGTTTCACCTTACTATGAAGATCTTCGAAGGCGTTCTTAAAGTCAGCATTTGTTAAAGCTTCATTTGAACTGTCTTCATCCGCTTGTATTTTTGTCCTTATTGACCCTATAAGCTGGGCTGCTTTAGCGTTGGCTTGGGCATCTAACCAGTCATTGTTAGCTTTTATATATTCTGCGCTTTTCATTGCCTTTTGCATGGCTGCGTCGTTATTTTTACTTTCTTGTGCTAAGTTTTCATACTGTACGGTTTGGTTTTGCAACTGTAAAAGTTTTTCTGCCTTTACATTTGCTTCAACTTCTTTTTTATACTCATCGCTATCCATATATGTCTTCAGGGCTTTTTGTTTTATCTCTTCATCTTTCAGTACTTTATATTGAGTAGTATGGTTTTTCAAATTTATGACATCTTGTTCCATTTTTGCTACTTCTGCTGCTTTTTCTGACACTTTTTTCGCATATTCCTCTGTACTTAGTTCTTTCAGTTGTTCTTCTTTCTTCTTTTTCTCTACGTTTAACTCATTGAGTTTCTTTGTGTGTCTGTCATATTCTAGTTTCTTTTCGTTTTCACTTATTTGCTTCTGTATGTCTATGTTTGACTTTTTGACATCTGATATTTGATTTTTGAGTGAACTCAAATTCATTTGACTTTGAGGGTTATATGCTGTTCCGTCTGCAGCTCCACCATAGCCTGCCATTTTCGCTAAAAGTGCCGCTCTTAAACCTCCACTCTGTGCACCAATGACTCGGTTTAAAAGCATAGGATTGCTTGACATTTGTTGCAACATAGTGGGGTCATTCAGCATTTGTTGTTGCAACTGTTGTTGTGGTGTTAGTCTTACTATTGGATGTTTCAATGCTCTCTTCCTCTTACGTATATTCTTACGTAGCTTACGTGGCATTTTAAGTGAAGTTAAAAAGCGGTTTTATACTAAACATCTTCGGGGCTAGAGGGCGCAACGCGCCTGGAAGCCCCAATACCTTTTTTTTTGTTGTTGTAGATTTAACTCTTTGAGTTATGTGAATGAAGAAATTCGATTAATTCTGCATTATTAATAGAAATTGCACAATCAAGAAGTGTTTCTCCATTGTTATTTGTTTCATTAATATTTGCACCGTGTGAAATAAGAAACTCGATCATATCTAATTCACTAAAATATAGTGCTTGAAAAATGGGTGTGTTTCCAAATAGATCTTTTGCATTAATGTTGGCTCCATGTGAAAGGAGAAGTTCGACTATTTCTATAGATTTGTTATGAACTGCAAAAAAGAGAGGTGTTTGCCCGTTAATATTTTTTTTCATCGATACTTGCACCGTGGGAGAGAAGAAGTTCAACAATTTTTTTGTGTTCAGAGTTTGTTGCAAGATGAAGAGCTGTTAGTTCATCGCAATTTTTTTCATTAATATTTGCCCCATGCAAAAGAAAAAGTTCAACTATTTCTTTATTTCCGCGTATCGAGGCAAAATGAAGAGCTGTATTTTCATCATTCATTTTTTCATTGGCATTTGCACCATGTGAAAGAAGAAGTTCAGTTATTTCTTTATCATCATTGAACAAAGAATAGAAAAGAGCTGTACATTCCTCATTAATTATTTCATTGGGATTTGCACCATGTGAAAGAAGAAGTTTAATTATTTCTTTACAATTATAAATCATGGCATAACCAAAAGGAGTTTTTTCATCAAAATCTTTTTCATTGATATTTGCGCCATGTGAAAGAAGAAGTTCAGATATTTCTATACAATTATTAATTGCTGCAAAATGAAGAGCTGTTTTGTTGTCATAACATTTTCCATTGACATTTGCACCATGTGAAAGAAGTAATTCGGCTGCCTTTTTATTATTTCTTAATGATACCTGATGAAAAGCTGTTATGCCATTTTTATCTTTTCCATTGATGTCTGCACCAAGCGAAATGAATAATTCGAAAAGAGATGGAATATTAAACATCGGAGAATAAATAAAGCATTTGTCAACATCATTAGATTGGTCGAAATAAACTAAAAATGCTTCAAGATTATTATATTCTCCACAATAATCTAAATCAATCTCTATATCATACTCATTCATCAAGAATGTAACAAAAATACAACTTGGCTCCATAATAATCCTGTCATGGTGGCTGTTTGTATCCCCTAGTATTTTCCTCTTGAATCTCTTTTTCTGTCGAAATTAAATTCAAATCTCAGAAGTAGAAGTGAATAATCGACTTATTACTGCTATTATACGAATAAATAAATTCATTATATTATTTTTATTAGTTAGTATACAAGTCATGGGTACGGCGGCACTGCGTTCCACCTTACCCAATACTTGTGAATTTGACACTTTACAAAGCCGCCAACCACTTCACTAACGAACTCACTAATGTAAAAAATAAACGTTCTCACTATCGTTCTCACTAACGACTTCACTAATGTTCTCATAAATTTTCCTCAATATCTTCATCATCAGTGTTAACCCTATTGTAGTCATACTTGAAGCCATAAACTTTCTCTAACTTCTTAACGTACAATTTACATAACTTACCTTCGTCATCGTATGGTTTAATGATATAACTATTTCTATCTTTATACACAGTCAATGAAAAGTCAACTGGTCTCGGATGTATTTGAAAGAACATGTTATGCTCAGGAAGGAAGAATAAATGTTTAAATGTATGTTTGTTATACTGTGGAATTCGAATGAGTTGCTTTTGTTCTGTCATTTACATCCAAATAAAAATTTTCAGTAAAATAAAAAATAAACTTAAAAATTAATGATATCACCACCCCACACGTATGAAAACATAGCGCAAAAATAAATTTAGGTGAAGTGGTGAGATCTCACCTCTTTTTTCACCTGTTTTTTCACCCTGTTGAATTCATTGCTTTATAACTCTCTTCCTTTCTCCAACTCTTCTAACTTCTTCTTAAGTTCAGCAATGTTGTCCTCATGAAGTTTAATCTTCTAATTCCTTCTCTATCTAATGGTTGCTTTATCTTTCTAAACTGAACTCTACCATCCTTCATAGTATGAATGTAAAAACCTTCTGGAATAGTTCCTGATTTAATGTATTCTACCAAAAACTTTTGTTTCATTGCTTCAGTGACTTTATTTGTCATTTCAATCAAATAAAAATTTTAATATTAAATAAAAATAACGTTATTTTTTCAGTAAGGAAACGCAGGAGTTTTACGATTTATTTGAGGAGTAGGTTCTGGTTTAAATGTTGGAGTCGGTTTAGGAGTTGACTTTTGAACAGGAGTTTGTACTTCCATAGGTTCAGGAGTCATTGAAGGTTTTGCTTGTGAAGGCGTGGTTTTGGCGAAGGGTTGGAGTTTGTTTAACTTCAGCTACTTCAGTATTATTTACAACATTTGCTTTATTTCTTTTCAACATCATAACTGCTCCTGCTGTAGCTAGCAAACCTAGTGGGAGACCATATCTTATATAAGGACTTGACCAAATGCTATTTTTGACAGGAGCTGGTGGAACACCTAACCTTGGTGAGACTGCTCTTTGCCATTGTGCAGCTCGTAAGAAATATTCAATAGGTGCTCCATAATCGTTTGGTAAAGTTTGTTTCATAGATGGTGAAGGTTCACGAGAGCTTGATGAAGAACTCATTTATAAGCTTTAAAAATAAACGTTCATCCTTTATTCCTCACTGTCGTCCGTAGCTAAGTTATAGTCATCTAATCTTATTATGGGGATGCCTGACGCACCTGAATGGCAAAGCAACAATCCCTCATAAATCCAATAAGTGGCTTTGGTACATTTTCAGTTGCTAGTTCAATAGGTCCTTTAACAGACAATTTGTATGTTATTGGAGCAGTAGATGTTTGACCTTGCTGGAAGCAAAAGTCCACTTCTGTTGGAAAACCACATAAGAAATGTGTGTTGTCATAGCTATCCCATTTATGTTCCACACTACCATCATCCACCAATGACCTCATAACATCTTCATTAAATCCTATCATATCATTGTTTGTATTGCAGGCGTTCGCAACCATTTCATAAAATACAGGTCCATATGATTTTTCAGGTTCTGCAGGCATATTTCCATAAGCTCCCATGGAAAGCTGAAGATATTTAAACTTAGGGTTCTCAAAATTAACATAATAGTTGTCTTTCTTTCTAAATAGTGCCCAAATACTTTTAACATTAATAGGCGTATAAGCTGCTGTAAATGTTGCACTTGAACTATCTGTATTCTTTGAGAATGAACCGTCCATAGGAATCCAATCCATAACTTTAACAGGAAAACATAAAGCCTCGTTTGTATAATGTTCTACAAGTTCTGTATAAATGTTAGGGTCTAAAGAGAATGACTTTGGATGAATGAAACATTCATTAAAATCCATCTTTGTTCGAAATAGTTGCTGGGTTACAGTTGTAATAGTAACTGTTCCACTAGCTTCTACTGCCTTCGTTATCATAGTGAATGGTTCATTCCATGGAACAAATTTATTTGTCGGTGGATTTGAATCTGAAGCAAATGCAACTTTAAGAGTTGGATTGAAAGCAATGATATCATTTACAGATATAGATGTGCATTGTAAGGCGTCGCTACTGAACTTTACTTTAAGCTGAATGTTTCCTGCAAAAGCTGGAATAAATCGAATAGCTTCTAATGGAAGGAATCTTCTAACAGGAATTCTTAAACGAAGCTTAAAATCAAATGATTTTCCTGCTGTAATTGGACCACTAACAATTTGTCCTGTTCTGCATGTTCCCGAATGACTCCATACATCTTCATGTCGAGTCTTTGAGAAAACATCTACTTTCTTTATTTGTTCGGTAGTTTGTGAGTTTGAAGTTATATATGCTTCTTCTCTTGCGTTGTCTTGAGAATATACGATACGACCATTTGCAAGGATTTGATATCCAGCAACTGCATAGAAAGCGTCATCGAAACCAATCCAAAATCCTGGTGGGTTTGTTTTATTGGAACCTGAACCAATTTCTTTATCTACAATAAATTGACCTTCCATTTTATACGTAATGAATGTATTGTAAAGGTCCAACATATTTTCACCAGGAGGTGAGAGATTGAATGTTACCCATGTGTTATCTTTAGCAGTTCCAGGTTGTGATGGAATCTTTGCGTCAGAATATTTTCTATTAGTGTCACCAATTTGAACTGCATTGTCTATGATATCGAAATATGAGCGAATCTGATGAATATGCTCTGCTGGAGTAAATTCGTTTACTGTTCGTTCTGCATGTATTTACTTCAGATAAAAATATCTATTTACTTCATTATTCTCACTCTTCTTCTTGGCATTCGTGGTGGAAGTTGTTTCTTGACATTTTCAATGAACTGTACATTCTCTTTTGTCTCAACTTCTTTCACTGGCGGGTCAGGTTCTTTGACTCGGTTTGTTTTTCAATGAAATTCACGAACTTTGCAATAAGCTCTTGGTTCGTTATTGAAAGTACATCTGGCTTCTTTTCTTCTGGTTCTATTGACTTTTCAGTTTGAATAGAAGGTTTTATATGGGCTTCGTGGACTTCACCCTTGCCATACACCTTAATGTTGTCGCTTTCTGCATTCGCTAATGGAACCTTTCTTTTTCTTACGTATATTTTACCATCTTTACTCTGACTTACGTAATAGAAAGGATGTTGTATTCCTCTTGCGTCATTTAATATAATAGACTCTCGCTCTGATTTTGACAAGCTCATTTTACATCGGTTAAAGTTTTAATTTTGTTTTTTATCTGCAGTCAAATGACTCAGACAAGCCCTACGGACAAGACCCAAGGGGTCATAGATGTTGAAGCATTGAAGAAAGAAATTCGTGAGCAAATTTTATCCGAACTGAAGGAACAAAAACAAGAACAAAAGCCAGAGAGACCAAAGAGAAAACTTAGTGAAAAACAACTTGCTGCATTAGCTGCTGGAAGACAAAAGAACCCACTGCTGGCGAAAAAGCTAGAGAAGAAGCTGAAGCAAAAGCTAAAGAAGCTGAAGCAAAGAAAGAGTAAATGGTTTATTTTTATCCGAATTAAATGTATAGACAAATACCTTTATCTGTTGCGTTCAGTAGTGAAAACCCTGACGTCAAAATAAAGGGGAACAGAGTAACGTTTAAGTTTCCAACAGACTGGATTGTGAACATAAATGAAGAGAAGTACATTGGCATAACATCTATGTATATAACACGTGCTTTCAGAAAGGTTGACTTTATACTTCAAGTCGAGATAGAAAATGACGAACAGTCTTTAAGCGCCCAAAACATTCACATATACAAATACTTTAAAGACGATACAACATTGCAACAATGTATGATTTCATTTAATGAGATGTTCGAGAAAAAGTTCAACATTGAAGTACAAACTTTACAGCCTTTACGTGAGTTTCTTGCACAACTGAAAGAAGAAGGTAGTCAGCCACAACTTATAGACTTTCATTATGAATTTAATGAAAATGAAGATGGAACACATGACTGTCAGTTTGTTGTATTCTCACCATTCAATGAAGTCGCTAAAGAGAAAGAAAATCCATTACGTATAAGATTTCAAATCTCTGAACCAAGTGATGATTTCAAGAATGTTTTCAATTATGATGCAATGCTTCCGAGGAAAAATGAATTTTCAAAGATTGTAACACCTGGCATTTGGGATAGAAAGCAAGCTATATTATATTCAAACTTAAGTAAGGGAGTTGAAAATGAGTTCATTGGTCATACAAGAACTTCACCACTTCCTAACCCTAAATACTATAAATTAACTGGCTTCAATCGTGAGTTTTGGATAGACATGTTCTCCACTCATGACCATAACTGCCCAGTGTTCTTACCTCCAGACCATAAGGACTGTCTCTACATTGAAGCACAACTCTTAAACTCTACCATCGCAGTATTGTAAATGACCACATGGGCTTCGCCCTTGCCGCTAGCGGCTTATTTTTATCATGAATGGTCTCACTGCTGACAAAAATAAATGACCTCATTATTTTTCTCATTCATGACCTCAGAACTTAAGCTTTCTTATGAATGAAGTCTTAGTCTGAATAGAAAAGTTAAACTTTTCAGCAAAGCAAGGTTGACAGACTTACATAAGTCGAATGCAATCTCTTGACCG